TGGGCACAGAAGCAGAGCCCTGACAAGAACGTTAAGTAGTTTCCAGATTTTGTCTTTGGGAATGGCAGTGATAAACAGAAATAGAGCTAGGAAAAGTCTTAGACTTCTTTGTCCCAATAGTTGTATTGATGTATCATAGGGTTCAAGGCAGTGAAGTTACAAACAGTGTATGAAGCAGTCTAAAAAACCAGTTGCCAGGGAATCGACTCCAGCTCACGTGGATCCCATGCATGGTTGAGTAGAAGTGTACTCCAGAGGGTTAACCACAGCTGATTTTTCAGATGCAGGACATCAGACCTTTGTTTCACATCTATGGGCGGATTTGAACCTCCAAATTTCAGTTAGCATAGTAACCATTTGGCATCAATCGAGGACCGCAGAACATTCTAGCATTTGTACCTCGTTCCACCTTTTCAAACATATGGGAAAGCAAAACACAATCTGAAGCCACTACACTGACAGTTTTACCCTACAACCTCTATTTATATGTATCCTCTGGGTTTTATAAATTAGGGACCAGAAATATTCTTTGTTTACAAATGTACTATTTCAACAGAGATAAAAATATTTCTCTATTTCAGGAATTTTTTTTTTTATAACACATTCCTGTTTTAAATAAACTATGTGTACAGTAATGGGCTTTATATACATCTAGTGAGATGAACATAATGAAACTGAGCATTATTATGGGCAAGTTTCTTGGTTAAACTTTCCAAGAGTCACTGAAGAGAAGTGGCAATGGTGGCAGCCAAACAACTTCAATGTCGCTGAGGGCTTCATGGCCTGTTAGGACCAGCCAATTAACTGACATACTCAATCCTCACTTATCAACAAAACAAAACTTTGTTTTGTTGATAAGTGAGGATTGAGTATGTTCATCTCATTATGTTCATCTCATTCTAGATGTATGTAAAGCCCATTACTGTACACATGTTGTTGTTGTTGTTGTTAAGTGCCGTCGAGTCGGTTCCGACCCATAGCGACCCTGTACAGGGTTTCCAAGGGTGTAAATCTTTA